GCATGCGCCACCATGCCCAGCTAATTTTATATATATATTAGTTGGCCAATTAATTTCTTTCTATTTATAGTAGAGATGGGGTCTTGCTCTTGCTCAGGCTGGTTTCGAACTCCTGACCTTGAGCAATCCGCCCACCTCAGCCTCCCAGAGTGCTAGGATTACAGGCGTGAGCCACCGCGCCCAGCTATGAGCAGTATTTTTGATCAAAGAATATATCAACAGCTCCTTGGTCTGCATCCTCCCGAAGGCCAGAGACAGAGTCTTACTCATGTGTCTCTCCACAGCATCTAGTCAGTGCCATCTCTGGCATTTGGTAACACATCAGTAAATATTTGCTTGAAAGTGTATTTTTAAATGACTGTGGGCCAAGTGTGGTGCCTCATACCTGTAATCTCAGCACTTTAGGAGGCCAGGGTAGAAGGATTGCTTGAGACCAGAAGTTCAAGACCAGCCTGGGCAACGTAGTGAGACACTATCTCTACAAAAAAAAAAAAAAAAAAACTTAAAAATTAGGTGAGTGTGATAGTGCATGCCTGTAGTCCCAGCTACTTGGGAGGCTAAGGTGGGAGGATCAGGCATGGTGTGGTTCACACCAGTAATCCCAACAATTTGGAAGTCTGAGGCAGGAGGATTGCTTGAGGTCAGGAATGTGAGAACAGCCTGGGCATCACAGTGAGATCCCCATCTCCACAAAAAATTTAAAAATTAGATGGGCATGGTGGCATACACCTGTAGTCCTAGCTACTCGGGAGGCTGAGGCAGGAAGATTGCTTGAGCCCAGGAGTCTGAGGCTGTAGTGAGCTGTGATCTTACCACCGCACTCCTGGGTGACACAGCAAGACCCTATCTCTAAAAAAAAAAGAAAGAAAGAAAGAAAGAAATGCATTCATTCTGAAGTGTATTCCATTAAATGGGAAAAGATGCAGCTTCTTCTCAGGTCAAATTCATGCTTTTGTGGGTGAGCATGTTAGCCCATCTGTTTAGTAGACATCATTCATTGACCATTTGTCCAACAAATATTGTTTCCTCCATGTACTAAACACCATTCTAAATATAGTAGTGAACAAAACAGATCAAATGTGCATTCATGGAACTTCCCTTTAAGAGAGGAGGACCAAGAATTAACAGATTTGTATGTAGAGATATAGTGTGTTGATGATACTAAATGTTTAGAAGAACATTGAAGAAGGGGGAAAGGGAAAGGGAGCCTCTGGGCAGGAGGGTATTGCTATTTCATACTGGGTGGTTAGGGGAGGCTTCTCTTAAACAGGTAACGTTAGAGCAGAAACCCGAAGGAAGTGAATGAGCAAGCCATGTGTATATAGTATGTGGGATCAGAGTGTTCCAGGAACGTGGAACTACAAAGCAGGAGCGTGCCTGGCAAGGAGGCCAGTGAGCTGAAGCAGAGTGGACAGGGAGAGGAGTGGTAAGGATGGGACCACAGAGGGTAGAGGGTGGAGGGGAGCTTAGAGACCATGGAGAGACTTAACATTTGCCCTGAGTTGGGAAGCCCTTGAAGGGATGTGGTCTGATTTAGGCTTTAAAACGATTATGTTAGCTGCTGTGTTGAACACAGATTATAGCAGAACAAGTTTAAAAATAGGGAAACCAGCACAGTAGCCTTGTCAAGTAATGAGTACATATGGCCTGGCAAAAATGTTTCCTCATAAATGTTAAATCAGTTTCACAGTTCTACTTCCTGGGTTTTGGGAATTTTTTTTTTTTCAGCTAGAATTTTACTCAAATACAGCTTAAACTGCTACAATAGCAATAGAAAATATTTCCTAAATATAATGAAATATATCACTTTTTGTAGCTTGATTGTTTATTAGTTGATAATACCTTACATTTATAGAATGTTTGACAGTTTAAAAAAAAGCAATTTTACATTCATTTTCTCACCAGATCCTTACAGTTCTTTAGAATTGTTACAGTAACTATTATTATCTCCCTACAGAGGTGGAAACTAAAACATCACATGCCAAGTCCAAAGTCATGTGCCAGCTTTGTGGCATAATCAGAAAGAGACTAAAACCCAGGTCTTCTGTCTCCTACCTTGAATCCATTGACTTTGTTTAAAGGGATCTGTTATGTTCAAATTATGTCTCAAGATATTGCTGGGGAAGGAGGCATTTATATTAGCAAATTTAATGTATTGTTTAAAAAGTCATCAACCAGTGAGTAATATACTATGCTTGGAAAGGATACATACAAAGATGTATTAAATATAAAGTGTATTTCTACCCTGTGAATTCATTTCTTGGGTTGATGATACCTGTAACAACAAATATAGTAAGAAACTACTAGTAGAACGTGTCATAAAAGCCTGGCACAGTGGTACACACCTATAATACCAACTACTCTGAAGGCTAAGGTGAGAGGACTACTTGAGCCTAGGAGTTTGAGTCCAGCCTGGGCAACACAGCAACACCCTGTCTCTAAAATCAATAAGGTATCATATGCAACATCCCAGACAGATGGTACAGACAACAGATGCTATCCCACTTTGAAGGAAGTAGTGACTTTGATGGCCTAAGTATGGGCAGTAGGGAAGCAGTTACTTGAGATGAGAAATGGGCAGGATTCAGATAGTCAGAAAATACAGAGGAAGCGTTTCTAAATCTGGGGGTGGGAGGGAGTTGATAAAATAAATCAACAAAGGCTTAATGATGGGTTTTTGTGTTTTTTTTTTTTGAGATAGTGATTCAAACAATCTAGTTGGAACACAAAGGTTGGTTTGAGGATGGCTGGATGCCTAGTACTTTCATATATAAAGTGCTCCTAAAAAGTAGGCTTAAAAAAGAAACTAGGCTAAGAGGTAAATGTGCAAAAGTTTTACAGTAGGCTTACATGTTGAAAAGATGTTGGACAGCTGGAAAATGCAGTCAGGTTCTTATTTACACACTCTTAGAATGTGTACGCCTCTTAGAATGTACTCTTAGAATTTATGCCTCTTAGAATGTAGTCTAGCAGTGGTGTTGTTTTATTTTTTCTCTTTGTATTGATCCACTTAAGTCAAGTGTGTGTCTGATTAAAACTAAAGATTTTCTGTTTTAGCGTACCTCCTGATTTCCAGGCAGCCCCTTCTTCCAGGAGCTCATAATATTTGTTCATTACCTGTTTCCATCTGATGTGTTGGCTTAAGAGTGCTTTAGGGTATCAGTATATTATATAAAAGAACAGATTGTCCAAAAGAAAAGTACTCAAAGTTGAGGGCCTATCGTGAGAATTAGATTTGGAAAATAAGACCAGGCTATGTAGAATCTGATATTTGTTTCAGTTCAGCAAACATTTATTCAGTGTCTGGTGTGGCTGTCAGTGCCATGTTGTACTGACTGCTGGAGCACACTTGAAAGCACAGCCCTGTTCTTGAGTTCAGATTCTGGTGGGTAGGGGGCATGTTAGGGAATATTTACTTTCCTCTTTAAGGAGAGAAGTGATGTAGTGAAAGTGGTATATTTAAGGTTTAATGTGATGGTGGTATAAGAAGTATATTGCAATTAGGGGGAAGCTGGAGGTTGAGAGACTAGTTGGTAAAAGAGCTTATACCTACCTGGGCATACCAACTTGTATTCAAACAGAGAATCACCCCCATCCCAACAGACGTTATAGTGTGTGTTATCTAAAGGACATGCTACAGAGACGTGTTCTATGGTTCACCCCTCATCACTGGAACAGAGTCATCGACATAAAATAATATATGTGCTCATGGTTTCCATTCATCTGGTCACTTAGTGATTCAACAGATATTTATTCTGCTATAAGGCTGCCTTTCTTTCAGGGACTGGGAATACAATAATCAATAAAAGAGACAAAGTCCCTGCCTTCATGGAATTTGCATTAAAGTTCAGTCAGTCAGACAACACTAAGTGAGCTCATGTTTGAGAATGTGCCTAGGACATTGCCTGTCACAGCATTCAGTGATTGTAGATTACTGTATTTGAGCTTGAAATTTGAACTAGGTACCTCCTCTTGGCAAGATACTTTGTTGGGGTACTCTTTTGCAAGATGGAGGGCTAGGGGGAGATTAACTAATTTATAGATTTTTCTTTAAACATTACATCAAAAAATTGAGACTCTTGTTCAGTGTTAGGACGGTTAAGGTTATGTGCTGTATTAAATATAACCATTTGTCTGTTCTAGAACCTCTTTTGCCCTTAAAGACGAAGCGTTGAAGCAGGTGCTGCTCTGTATTATCAAAAGTGGTGTGCTCTTGTCCTGCTTGGATGGTTTTTGTGAGCTTCCTGAATTCCTGAATAGACTCATTGTTGTCACTGATGATGCTTCACAGAAACCCTTTGTGTCATTATTTAGCGACTGACTGCTTTGGTGAAAGCTATGTCAATTCTTTTGTTAACTTAACAGCAGTCAAAAATGATGTAAGGAAGAGAAGAATAAATGAAATAAAGACTGATAAGTGCATACATGCACACACAGGCATCTTTTAGATCAATTTCTATTATCTGAAGCAGCATTTGTCACATAAAACATGGAAAATAGCAACGCTGCATTCATTTTCTCATTATTTCATTCAGATATGACCTGTTACCAGCAATATAGGAATTTTTTTCCTTGTTGACTTCCCTTTGGCCTTACTACTTCTCAGATGGAAGGGCTAGCTTGATGGTTACACATATAAAGCAAAGCTAATCCTTTTGTGCAAATTCTTTGCAAGAAGATTACATATTCTTATCTATCTACTTTTCTTGAAAGGCTAGGAATAGGATGATAGGTGTATTTACTGTTGTTATACAGTAAGGATTTGATTTGACTTTCACTTAAACCCTTGCTTCTATAGAAACCTGAATTGATTGGAAGTAGAGGAGTTGGGACCTTACATTTTGCCTGCAGATAAAATGCTTTGCATTAAATTTGTGATTAGAATTTCGGGTTGAGCAGATGTCATTTCTGCAATGTGGTATGGTGTGCGTGTATGTTTTTTAAAAACAAGCACTGTAGATATGGAATTAGTTACGTAGACTTTTCTGGTCCCTTTTTAGATGTGAAGCCCTCCAATATGCTAGTAAACACAAGAGGACAAGTGAAGCTCTGTGATTTTGGAGTTAGCACTCAGGTAGGTCTTTTTCCTCCCAATGTGTTCTCCTCTCTGCAACAACCACTTTTTATTTTCAATCTGCTCTCTGGATTGAAAAATCACCTAGCTGCCAGACAAACAGAAACTCTGTATCTTTTCCTCGGCTGGGATTGTGTTATTCATTTTTAATCTCTGAGCGAGTTTCCTTCATCAGAATATGATTGTTCATTGTTTAATGACAGTAAAAACTGCTGATATTGTAATTACTACTTACGAATAGCAAACTTCATTGATATGCAGCTTTGATATGAAAGCGTTTTGGCCAGACAAAAGGGAGGGCAGAGTGGGAGCTGTGCCTGGGGAGCCCAACTGGCCCACAATAAAAATTAATATTGGGAGCAACAATGGTGGAGGGCCATTACAATGTGCAGCACAAATTTTAATTAATTTCCATTTTGGGCCTCCCCTGAGAACTCCAGTGATAGTGACCCATGAGCGTGCTGTGATGTTGATTTGAATTGCAGCCACCTTTACTCCCAGCCAAACACGAAGACCAAAGCGAAGGTCATCGTTGTATTATGAGTTGTCAAAGTCTGTTATCCCTCCAGCGTATTTAGTGTTCATTTCATTCTAGTAATGCATGGGGCTTCATCCACATCTTGAGCCATCTGACTAAAAAATGAGTGTGTTCAAATTCTACTTCAAATTGACTTTTTATATCAGGCGGGTTTGGGGTACTAAAGCGATAAGCATCCTCCTTAAGTGAATTGTTTAAGGTTATCTGCTATAAACTGTAATGTTGTGCTTGTTTAAATTGGAAATCACATTCAAAAGAAAAGAGAGATTTAATCATTTTTAATGCCTTTGTAGATAAATTTGCTCCCTTTTACATAATTTTTAGTTGATTTATAGGAATGATGATTGTAGGTTAAATGAGGAATAATTGCCCATTTTATTTCCACATTATCTTTATATTGTTCTAACAGACTGTTTTGTCTCATAGCTGGTGAATTCTATAGCCAAGACGTATGTTGGAACAAATGCTTATATGGCGGTAAGTAAACTTATGCAAAAATAACATTTAAAACCAACATCTTTATCTTTATGTACTTGGTAATGTATAATTCTTGAATTAATTCCACAGCTTTAGCCTAGAAGATATAAATTACAAAGTCAATCCAGTCATGATTTGATTTTTAAGTCTTTCTAAAAGACATTAAGGTTTATATAGGAGCTATCAATTTATCTGACTTTGTTCACTTAGCTGGTTGGTTCAAGTATGAAATTCCTGAGTTTTAAAGTTTAATACTACAGAAAAATTGCACCTTACAGCATATTGGCTACTTTTCTACACTGCTTATTTAATTAACTCTCAAGTATACCAAAATATCAGTCAATAAGATTGGTTATTTTTTCCCAGGAATAAAAACATGTTTTGTCACCAGATCAAAATTAAATTATAGATATAGCCAAATTTTATTTATGAATCTCTGAATGGAAGGGCTTAGCAGGCAATTCCCTTAGAACTTGTACCTCTATATTTTGTTTAGTTGTTTAATTCATGCCTATTGTAAGATAACTTATTTAGTTTCACTGAAATAAATTTACCAAGAATAAAAATTAGAAGCATAGAGTTGTTTCAAAAATGAATATGCAGGCCGGGCACGGTGGCTCACGCCTGTAATCCTAGCACTCTGGGAGGCCAAGGCGGGCAGATAGCTCGAAGTCAGGAGTTCGAGGCCAGCCTGAGCAAGAGCGAGACCCCATCTCTACTATAAATAGAAAGAAATTAATTGGCCAACTAATATGTAGAGAAAAAATTAGCCGGGCATGGTGGCGCATGCCTGTAGTCCCAGCTACTCGGAAGGCTGAAGCAGGAGGATTGCTTAAGCCCAGGAGTTTGAGGTTGTTGTGAGCTAGGCTGACACCACGGCACTCACTCTAGCCTGGACAACAAAGCAAGACTCTGTCTCAAAAAAAAAAAGAATATACACTTGGCTTTGACCTCTTTTTCTTACCTTTTGAGTAATAGAAGTTATTTGTGTCCATAAAAATGCTTTAGTTTATTGGTTTCCACAATCACTTTAAGAGTGGGAGGGAAGACGAGGCGAGGTGACTCATGCCTATAATACTAGTGTTTAGACCAGGAGTTCAAGACCAGCCTGAGCAAGAGGCAATACCCCCATCTCCACAAAAAATAGAAAAATTGGCTGGGTGTAGTGGTGCATGCTTGTAGTCCCAGCTATTCAGAGGCTGAGGCAGGAGGATCATTTGAGCCCAGGAGTTTGAGGGTACTGTGAGCTGTGATTGTGCCACTGCACTCTAGTAGCTTGGGCAACGTAGTGAGATCCTATCTCAAAAACAAAAAAAAAAAAGAGGGAGAGAGAGAAAGGGAAGGAGAAAGCCAAACGGAAGTTTATCTGCTACCATTTTTGGAACAAAGTTTTGTCTTGTTTTAACATCTTAGGGGTAATTTTTATCCTGAGGACTCTAGATCTATTAGGCAGTCCCTTTTACTTCTAGCAGCCTTTGTTTATGTATCATGAAAGTAAACAATGTTAGTATGAACAGAACTGTGAATGGATCTTATTCTCAGCAATCTTTGTTCATACATTATCTTGATTAAAAGATTTAAGGATAGAACCCTAAATATTATTCTCAGAAAAATCAAAGCATTTTGTTTTCATTCAAATCCCAGAATAGTTAATTTTTATGTTGCATTATTTTTTTTTAATTTATACTTTCTTTTTTTTTTTGAGGTAATGTGAAAAAAAGTAGATCAACCTCTGAAGTCATCATATCTGTTGTTTGGGTTTTTTGGTGGGGTTTTGTTTGTTTGTTTGTTTGTTTGTTTGTTTTTGAGATAGGGTCTTGCTCTGTTGCTTGAGTTAGAGTATAGTGGTGTCATCATAGTTCACTGCAACCTCAAACTCCTGGGCTCAAGTTATTCTCCTGCCTCAACTTCCCGAGTAGCTGGGACTATGAGCACACACCACCATGCCTTGCTAATGTTTCTATTGTTTTGTAGAGACAGAGTCTTGCTATGTTGCTCAGATTGTAGTTTTATAAAACTTAATCTCCCTCCTTGCTCTATCTACCAAGTTAGATGAGATTAGTAAATCACAGTAGTTAACAATGTATTGCTGAATGCTACAGTTTCAGTCTTTGAAAGACTATGAAACGTTGTGATTTAAAACAAACAAACAAAAAAACAACTTCTCAACTACCCAGCACGTTTTTATTAGCTTTAAATTGCTCTAATAATTAAATTGCATTATATTTGAATGTACAAATCCAGATTACACTTGTCTTTCCCAGGTATACATTAAAGAAATTACTTTTTTCCTTTTTGTTTATGGATGAATGTGATATGTCCATCTGTTCATTGATACTGTGAGGATTGGCTGGGCGCGGTGGCTCACGCCTGTAATCCTAGCTCTCTGGGAGGCTGAGGCGGGTGGATCGTTTGAGTTCAGGAGTTCAAAACCAACCTGAGCAAGAACAAGACCCTGTCTCTACTATAAATAGAAAGAAATTAATTGGCCAACTAATATATATAGAAAAAATCAGCCGGGCATGGTGGCGCATGCCTGTAGTCCCAGCTACTCACGAGGCTGAGGCAGAAGGATCGCTTGAGCCCAGGAGTTTGAGGTTGCTGTGAGCTAGGCCGACGCCACGGCACTCACTCTAGCCTGGGCAACAAAGTGAGACTCTGTCTCAAAAAAAAAAAAAAATGTGAGGATTAAAATTATGAAACATTAGCTCAGATTGGCAAAGCTAAAAGTGCTTTGCTTCTTGGGTGAATGAATTCTAGACATCAACTTTATGGTTCACACTGTAAAAAGCATAAGATACCTAGGCAAGGAACAGTGATTGCCTGAGAGGGAGACCTTTGCTTAAAAGTCAGTAGGAGGCTCTTTTGGACCAAGTACTTATCTGGGTGGTATAAATCAAATGTTGTGGGTGGGGAAAATGGAAATAGCCTATATTATTCTAGTATGGGTATTAGTCCCTGCCCTTTATTTGCTGATAGTCTCTGGAGGGAGAAGGGCTGGGCTTTTTTTTTTTTCATAACCACAACTGGTTCTTGTTTTTAGTTAGTCTACTTTATAATTTTGAGTTATACATGAGGATCTATGCCAACTATCAGTGAACTACAGCTCTTAGGCCAAATTCAGCTTACTGCCTGTTTTTGTAAATAAAGTTTTATTGGAACTTGGCTGTGCCCATTTGTTTATATTTTATGCATGGCTGCTTTAGCACTATAGTGGCAGAGTTAAGTAGTTGTGACTGTTGCAGCAGAGACCATATGGCCCACAAAGTAAAATGTATTTACTCTCTGGCCCTTTACAGAAAAAGTTTGCCAGCCCCTGGTCTATGCCAGTGAAAACTGTATCTGAAATGAGTACCTTCAATTAATCAAACAGTATTTACTGAGCACTTTCCATGCTGTTAGTCAGGTATTATGGAATTACTCTGTAATCTAGATAAGACTGGGTCAAATCGAAACATGACATTATATATAGCAGCATTATGTGTGACATAATAAAGACTTAATTTGAACTAAACATACATTTAGAAAATAGGAAGGCATACAGTACACAAATTTGATGGTTTAAATAGTATATGAAAAGGGCACTTAAAGAAGAAAGAGATCACTGTGGAGGGATAAGCAAACACTCAGAAATAGAAGGCATGGGTGGAATGGGGAGGTAGGGAAGAGTACGAATAATAAATTAAGGGAAATATGTAATTGGAGGGCATCTGATGTAATGACCTCATTTTACATTTTTCCTTACATTGATAATAACACTGATAATACATCAATGATGATAGTACAGTGATAATAACATCAGTAATAATAGTACAGTATTATAGTACAGTATAATAGTACATCAATAATAGTATAGTGATAATAACATCAATAATAATAAGCCGGGCGCGGTGGCTCACGCCTGTAATCCTAGCACTTTGGGAGGCCGAGGCAAGTGGATTGCTCAAGGTCAGGAGTCTGAAACTAGCCTGAGCAAGAGCAAGACCCCGTCTCCACTAAAAATAGAAAAGAAATTAATTGGCCAACTAAAAATATATAGGAAAAATTAGCTGGCATGGTGGCACATGCCTGTAGTCCTAGCTACTCGGGAGGCTGAGGCAGCAGGATTGCTTAAGCCCGGGAGTTTGAGGTTGCTGTAAGCTAGGCTGATGCCATGGCACTCTAGCCTGGGCAACAGAGTGAGACTCTAACTCAAAAAATAAAATAGTAATAATAATAATAGCTAACAATTAGCACTATGTGCCAATCACTCTTCTAAGCTCTTACATATATTAACTCTTTAAATCCTCACAACACTATGAAATAGGCAATATATTACTCTCAATTTATAGGTGAGGAAACTGACGTAAGAGAAGTTAAATGACTTATCTAAGTTCACACAGTTAATAGGTCACAGAGTCAGGACTCAAACCTAAGTGATCTGTCTCCAGAGACTAAAGTCATTATTGCTGTGCTTCTAGTTATATCCATATTATTTATGTGTGTTTCCTAATCTAGATTGTGAACTTTACATGGACAGGTTTTATTCTGCTTATTCTGTATATTCAGTCCCTCACACAGTGCCAAGGAAATGAATTTATTCATGAAAGCTGCATTTTAAAAGTGTCTTGTTCACAAATTAAAATAATTTTTGTATTAAGAATCTTACTTGTATTATAAGGTATAGAAGGCCCCATATTACTCAAATACAGCCAGCTAGGCCACCCAAATATTGAAAAGAAAATAAAGCAGAAGGAAATCACTCTGTATATATAAACAATCTCACTTTATTCTCCTATAACCTAAAGTGTAAGATACAAGAAAAATAATTAGGAAAAAGATAAGAAGTCTTCTGTAACATCCTCAGTGATTAAAAACAAAACCCAAACCAAAACTGAGCCAAGTGCAGTGGCTCATGCCTATAATCCTAGCACTTTGGGAGGCCAAGGTGGGAGGATCACTTGAGCCCAGGAACTGGAGACCATCCAGGGCATTAGCAAGACCTCTGCCTCTACCAAAAAATAAAAAAATTAGCCAGGTGTGGTGGTGGGCACCTATAATCCCAGCTACTTGGAGGCTGAGGCAGGATTGCTTGAGCCCAGGAGTTTGAGGTTGCTGTGAGCTATGTTGACACCACTGCACTCTAACCCCAGCAACAGAGCAAGACACTGTCTTCAAAAAAAAAAAGCAAACTTATGGACACATTAAGCAATGGAACTTGTAGGAGACTTGTAAAGTCATCTTGATCCAACATCCTTGTTGACCAAATGAGGATACCAAGACCTGGAAAGTAAAGTCATAGGGACAGATAATTAGGTTTAGTAGACACTTTCATCCAAAGCATGAAAGATTTCCAACTACATTTTTAAAGGATTTCATCCAAAATGATTATGATATGAAAGGGATCCATAAGCTTGGGGCTTATATTAAATTAAACCATTTCTCAGAAGTTCTAATTACTAAAAATTTTATTCTGTTTTTAAGATAAAAGTCCCTAAAACTTTAACCAAGTATTCAGTCCAGTGATTTGTTATAGTTTTAAAAAATCACATATAAAAGTTTGACATTATTATTATGAATAACTGAAGTTTTGAAATTAAAAAAACAATCTTAGATACTTGTCCTTTGGGATCAAAAAAGTCAATCTAAGTGACTACCTATTATTTCCAGAACGTTGTTTTCTGCCCAGACTATTCCAATCCTTGGAAGTTGTTTTTACTTGGAATAAAACCTGTATAGGTGGCATGATCCAACTTAATTGGCTGTGCTTATGCAGTGGTAGTAAAGGTCGTGGTGATGATTGGAAGGAGGCTGACATTTACTGAATATTCCCGTGTGGCATGTACTGAATTTAATCTTCACACAACCCCATGAGGTATGTGTATTATTATTATTATCTTCATTTTAAAGACGAGGAAACCAAAGGTGAAATAACTTTAGTCTCAGAGTTGGCACATAGTGAAAGGCAAGATTTAATTAGGACACCAGCTTCTAGTTTCTGCTAATATCCCAAGCTAGGTTATTTGGATCACTTCTTCTGTTGAAAAATGCTAGTTAAAAGGTTTTTTTAAACCATCTCAAATGCACTGAAGAGGTAAAAAGACAATGGGGAACTCCCAGGACAACTTTTGAATGAAATCCTGTAGCAGAGAAGAAGGAGCACCATTAATGCTTACTCCTGAGGGCATTTTCCCCGTACTACACTCAGACAGAGGGGCAAAGGTCGAGCCCCAGGGTCCACCTAAGGCAGAAGGTCTAAGAGGAGATCTTACCCATTCCATGCTGGAAGCAGAAATGGCTCACCTCAGTGTGAGGGCAAGGTAGATCTAAAAGCTGCTCCTCTTTCCCCAGTCCCAGGAAACTGAAGAGGAGGCATTTTGGAAATAAGCAGAGGAGCAGGAGAAAAAGGGAAAGTGGGAAAAGTTGTGACCATAAGTCACATAGATTTGCTCCCTGGATATATGTATATATGACCTGAATTGGATAAGGCATTCCATGCTGAGGACTTGGTTTGAGGTGGGTATATCCACCTTAAGCCTCGAGAGAACCTCTCCAAAATTTTTCTTTCAAGAGGAATAACTAGCAAGCAGTCAGAGAAAACCAGGGACAAAAGAAAACAAAGCAACATGAAGATCCAGCAGCAAGAACAGGAAGCAGAAACAGTTGCACACGGACTTAAGATCACAAATTTCAAAAGTAACATAGTAAATCTGAAAAATCTCAGACAAAACTTCTTATTAATAGATGAAAATTTAAAACTCACTGTATTTGAAAGCATACTGGACACAGCAGAAGAGAGAACTAGAGAACTGGATGATAGATCTGAATTGGAGCAATCTGACTCCAAAGCCCCATTGAACCAGTATGCTGTACTACCAACACAGGTATCCTGCCAACTTAAAAAAAAAATCCTCATCACTTGTGATATGTATTATTGATTACATTCTAGCGGCTAGCCTAAAGAATTAATATTTGTGCCTGCTCTGTTAATTTTCTGAGTAGTATAACTCTGAGCAGAAATTCCGTTTTCAGAAGAGAAAACTTTTTGATAAGTAAACCCTTTTATTGTAAACAGAGACAGTTCTGGAATTAGTCAACTAAACATGGGTCCTGGTAAATGCCTAGTCACAGAGGACAGCTGGGGGAGTGCAGTGTGAGTGCCACCAAGAAGCCACTGCCCTTTAAGATCCTCCATAAGTTCTGCTTTTTAGATCCTCACCACTCTAAGAACAGGCCAGGGTTTTCTGTTTCTTTTTCTTTGTTCTTCACTTAACTCCCAGTACAGAAGTGCTTTGGATGAGAGTCATGTTTTTTCTATTATTTAGCTTTCCACATTGGTGACAGCTGTCATGTGAGAAAGTAACCCCAGCTTTAGCTTTTTAACTGCAAAATGTCCATCACAGATCTTCTGTCAGCGATGTGGTACCTGGTGGTTCATTTTGTTGTTTCATTTTGTTTTGGAGGGGAGAAGACAGGGTAAGCCACCTTGACTTCAAGTGTGAGAACAGCTTTGACTTGTGTAGCCTCAGGCCATTAAATCCTGACTCCATAAATTCAGAATGTATTGGGGCTCATCTTTTGTCTAAGTCAGTTTCAGGGCACTGGGAACATTTCCCAATCCCTGTATACCTTAATTGGTTAAGATAGACCGTGGAGCTTGCTACCTGCTTTTGCTGAGCATTCTTGCTCAAGCCCTGCTTCACAACAGTAATCTTGTTTTGTTAGCTTATTGCAAGAATAATTTCTCCAAAGAGAAGTTGTCAGAATTTCATCCTTAAGGAGTTCTCTTACTTGCCACCTAATATCTGTTAACATTATCACTTTTTCTATTTTTTCTTTTTTTAATTTCATTTAATTCTTCTATGTTTCATTAGCAGTGTACAGTTAGCATTTGTTTTGGTAGTTCAGTAGACAAATGTAATGGATGTATTTAATCTCATTGTTGGTTCTGCCAAAATATTTTGTACATGGCTTCTACTTCTGTTTGTTTGTTTTTTCTGTATTCTGAATGAAGTGCTGTATATTGATACCTGTTAGCCAGTGGAATGAAGAAATGGAGAGAGGAAGGAAAGAAGGACAGGGAGTAAAGCAACATTTGGTTGTTTCTTTAACAATTCTAGAGGATTTTAGGTGTATGTTAATACATCCTAGTACCTGTTGAACTAGCTAACACCGGATAATGGAGTGTGGGTTATGATCCCAGTCCTGCTATGATTAGCTCTGTACTCTTCAGCAGTCATTCCACCTTTGTGAGGCCTCAGTTTCTCTTATTAATTTGTTCATGTGTTCATTCCAAAGACTTGCATGAAGCACCATACTGAATGCCATAACCTGCAAGGATAGATCAGGAAGCACCTGCTTTCTGTATGAAATTATTCCTGTTGCAATACAGAGGGTGCATGTAGCAGCTTTGTAAACCTGGTATTTCCTACACGTCTTGAGTGGAGGACTAAGGGTAGGTACCAAATGGACCTTTCAGACTGTTCCTTGGTTCATATCAAAAGAAATCCTGATAAATGGAAGAAAATTTTGGAAGGCAGCTATGCTCACCACTATACCACCAACGCAGGAAGAAAATTTTGAATAGTAAGTGAATCTGGCTGAAGGAATTATAGATGTTCTTTGCACTAGCCTTTTTCTTTTAACTTTCTTGTAAGTTTGAAATTATTTCCAAATAAAAAGTTAAAAAAAGTAAACCCTAGTGTTCCAGACCCACCTATCAAAATATAAGTAAGTGATAATATTGTATAATATTGTTTAATTTCTCACTCCACAACTAAGACCACTGGATTTGGAGAGAGAAGACCTGGGTTTAATTCTTTTCTCATTCACTAGCTTAGGACCTTGCCTAAACTATTTCACTACCCTGAGCTTCTGTTTTCTTATCTGTGAAATAGAGATAATAAAGTCTTCCTCACAGGGAATTTGTGAGGATTCATGAGATTATACACACACACACACACACACACACACACAATTTCTATATATTATCTATATAATATACATACATACATATATACATACACATAAAATTATTTTCCTATCCATAAAATTCTGTGCAAATGTTGGTGGCTCCCCAGCTTAGCTAAGCTCATGTTCAGTGTGTGTATTTCTTGGAGTAATGTACATCAACTCACAAGCTCCCTTCTGTTTTCTTATAGCCTGAAAGAATTTCAGGGGAGCAGTATGGAATCCATTCTGATGTCTGGAGCTTAGGAATCTCTTTCATGGAGGTATGTTGTTGTTTACAAATAGACACTTCTGTGCATATCTGTACTTACATGTTCAATCAGGAAGAATGAAGATTTTGAAAGTAAAGTAAAATAAAACTTTGGTGTGTTATGTATACATACACACACAGTTTGACTCTAAAGTCTTTATTTTTATATCCTTTACGGTTTGTGAACTGACTCTGGAGGTTATTCTAAAGTTCCTTTTCTCACAGATCACTTGTATAGGACTTACCTGGAGTGCTTGCTAAAAATACAGGTTCCCTAACCCCATCTAAGAGCAATTAAATCCATATCTCTAAGAGTCTGCATTCTTAACTTGTTACCTTGGTGATCCTTATGCACACTAAATCTAGAGAGCCTGTGTTCTAAAAGAAGATTACAGAAAAATTCTTTGCCTTGTTGGAATAACTTCCCAAGGTAATTTAAAAGTACAGCCCTACTCATCTGGATATATAAATTCTGTTTGTTTAAAAAGAATAAACCTACCTCATTCTAATATGTATGTATATGTGGGGTAAGGGATGGTATGATATGATGGAGGGGAAGAAGGAGAAGGGAATTTATGTATATGACACAATTTTAATATCTTTATTCTTTATAGCTGTATTTAGAATGGACTTTTAGTGTGCTAGGTATAGGCCCCACTAGAACTCTGTGCTAATATTTCTATAAAATAACCATTAATCTATAAGGAAATGCATATGATTTATATCAAGAGAACATCTGGCTCAGTCTGAATTACAGTAGTATAGTACCTGGATACTCACCAGTGCTTCAAAAATTGTTTCAGATAAAGGAGGACTTTTTTGAAAAGTTAGAAAGGGCTCTTTAAATAAGATCATAGAATTGCAATCACAATTTTATAACCTTTTTTTAGTCAGATACTTTTTCTGTAGATTTTTGTAATGCATGGATGCAGTTGTATTTGTAAGGAAATATTTTCAGACTCAATTCACCTACCTGGCAGAAAGAAAGCAAAAATAAAGTGTTCAATGTTCATTAAACCATATTCCTGTGCTTCTTCATAAAAGGAAATCTAACAAGAAATACAATATGTATGCATTAGATGAGAGGTTATCCATAATGGTGGTTAGATCTCAGGACTGAGTCTCCCAACAGAATCCTGAAGGGTTTGTTCTGTTAGCCTGTTTCAAGGGAGACTAGTGCTTTTGATCTGTGGGACTCAGGCCTTGCTGTCATATAATTTCCCTTTGCATATTTTAAATCATTGTCATTGTATTTTATAGATGGCTGGTTATAGTATAGAACAATTGACAAGTTATATGGTAAAGAGATAAGAATCCTTGATTGGGGCCAGGCGCTGTGGCTCACACCTGTAATCCTAGCACTCTGGGAGGCCGAGGCAGGAGGATCACTCAAGGTCAGGAGTTAGAAACCAGCCTGAGCAAAAGCGAGACCCCATCTCTACTAAAAATAGAAAAGAAATTAATTGACCAACTAAAAAATATATATATAGGGAGAAAAAATTAGCTGGGCATGATGGCGCATGCCTATAGTCCCAGCTACTCAGGAGGCTGAGGCAGAAGGATTCCTTGAGCCCAGAAGTTTGAGGTTGCTGTGAGCTAGGCTGACGCCACAGCACTCTAGCCCAGGCAACACAGTGAGACTCTGTCTCAAAAAAAATAAAAAAAAGAATCCTTGATTGGGAATGGAAGACCTACATTGCATTTCAAGGTTTGCTACTGGGTTTTAGGTTACTCTGTGCAAGACATCGTTCCTCACTGGGCCTCAGTTTCTTCATTTGTAAAATAATGATCTTGAACCCCCTTTCCAGACTAACATTCTATGGCTCTATTGCTGCTCATTTTCCTGTTGTCTTTCCTTTTACAAACATCTCTAGAGTTTGTGACTAAGACAGTGATAAAATGGCATAAAATGCAGAGGCATAGCAATGCTGTAAGACAGTATAACTAATAGATGTAAGATGTAGAGCACACATAAATGTTCACCATCCGTCCTTTCCACATTCATTTATGCCTTCATGTATTAAGCTCCTGCAATGCCTACTATATAGGTGCTGGGAATGGAGTAATGAAAGACACTCAAGTCTTGGCTTTCATGAAGTTACATTTGGTGAGGGCTGGGGCAGGAGGGGAAGGACAGAAAACAAAGGGATAACCAAAGCAGGCTACTCCTCTCTGATAAAGTCCTATTGTAATGGAGGTAGCCACCTGTTAAGCAAGTACAAAGGCACTGAGATGGAGTGTGTTTGGCATATTTAAGGAAAGCAGAGAGGCCAGTGTGACTCCTGGCAAGGGAAAAGTGAGAAAAAAATAAATTTAGAGAGGTAGCCAGGGGCCAGATCATATACAGTTTTGTAGGCCGTGCTAAGGACTTTAGATATTACTCTGAGGGTAAATGATCTGACTTACATTTTCATAGGATCACTGAGTGCTCTGTGGAGCATGCTATAGAAGGGGCAGGTGTGGAAACAATGAGATGGGTTTAGGTAGATAGATGGGTGCCCAATAAATATAACATAGTTGTAACATAGTTACATTTATTTATGTTTCATATTAAAATATGTGTCTGCCAGTATTTTGCTAGGTGCTGGGGATGCAAAGATTACTAAAAAGAGATTCTTTGTAGTGTAAGGAGGGAAATTGCCACTGATGTATTTCAGATTTTGTTGATCATGTTCATTTATCCTGGAGGTAAACTATTGAATAGTCTCTGGAGGACTGAAGAAAGTATATCCATTGAATTTGTAAGATTGAGAAAGATTAGGTGTAGGGAACTGTGTGAAAAAGTGTCAGCATTGAGCGTGGGACGCCCGAACGCCAGAAGGAGTGTGTGGGCTGGTGTGGTGAAGTGGTGGACAGATGACCAGATGGTCGAGAGTGAGGACCAGGAAGGGCTAGGCCTTTTGATGCTTCCTGTGCTTTCAAATGGATGGTAAGGAGCTGGGTGTTACGGCAGGAGGAAGAGATGTTGTTACAGGATGTAAAGTGGAATCTGATTATGATCATCAAAAAGGGTTGTTTGGCACCTCTTTGTACATGATGCTTGACTAATGCCTTCAGAAGAACTATAGGATTTTATCCCAAGCTTTCTAGAAGCTTATGACCCATCAGACAAGCAAGTGACAACATGTGACCCACCCAAATGATAGACCAGTTAAGTCATTAGAAAAGAGAATAAGGCTCCTGGCATGTGTTTTATACCTTATTCATTTGGGGTCCAAGGAAAAGAAAAACATGCGATAGAGAAGGGGAATAAGAGGTTTTGAGTTCATATGTGAGAATCTGTAGGTAATTCAGTAATGAAGGTTACAAGAGAACCCCAAGAGTTTCCCCCCACCCCTTATGGGATGATATAGTGAGAACATTACCAAAGGGATTGGGAAGTTAGTCCAAAAGAAGTACTTGAGGGCCAAGATTCTTCTTTGTTTTTACCATAGTACACTTGGAATAGATGTGAAAGTCCTGTTTAAAATCACTATAGAGAGAGAAGTATTAATTTCATTAGCATTTTTAAATATGAGGAACAAACTGCATTCTGGAACATAGTCAATACTTTCAAAGAATTGCTTCTCAGCCAGGAATAGTGGCTGACACCTATAATCCCAGCACTTTGGGAGGCTGAGGCAGGAGGAACACTTGAGGCCAGGAGTCCAAGACCAGCCTGGGCAATGTAACGAGACCCTGTCTCTACAAAAAATTTTAAAAATGAGGCAGGTATGGTAGCGTGCACCTATATAGTCCCATCTACCCTGTAGGTTGAGGTGGGAGGATTGTTAGAGCCCAGGAGTTTGAGTCTGCAGTGAGCTATGATTGCATCACTGCACTATAGCCAGGGCAACAGAGTGAGACCTTGTCTCAAAACAATAAATAAATAAATTTGCTTCTCTTCTGTTTATTCTCCCTTTTGAAAACAAGATTCTCTTTCTAGATGTAGGCTCCAAAGAGTAGAAACTTCCATTCATTCTATAATTCTTACGTAAGCACTGCCACATGCTAGGCCTTGGAGAGTGGGGTACACAAAGCTAAAAAGAGCCCACCCCTGGTAGAGAAGAAAGACACTTTTTAAAACCCAGAATAGTGTGGTAAGTCTTCGGTAGAGATGTTTATGAAGAACTGTGAGCCACAAAGGGGAAAAGGGCTGGGGTTTCACAAAGGAGTTGATATTTGAGCACAAAGGATTGATTTTGAAGGGAGTTTACCTCTAGGAGAAAGAGGGAAGAGATGGAAGATCCCCTTTGCATCCCCCAGAATACTCGAAGTGGATCCCTTTGAACACTTACAGGGAGATCAAACGTTAGAATATGCAAGGTCTCACCTCGTACAATTTCACTGCCTATTTGTGCACATACCTTCCTCAAAGTGTTTTGAGTCAAACAGTTTATTCCTCTAGTGTACCTGTGGTAAAGAAGAAATTAGATAAAAATGTAGGAAACTGAACAAAAGATTCCCTGAAAGTACACAAGAAACAAATAGAGACAAAATGGGAACTAGAGTTTTCTATCACTACTACCTCTTCCTAACATCTCTTCCCCTAATGCCATAAACTCTCATCTCTGAGGTTTGGTGATGCAAGAATCAGAAGATTGCCTTTGTTGTTTTAAACTCCTAAAATGACTTGCCTGCTTTTTTTCCTACTGCCCCTTTCCTTGTTAATGTGCTGTCACAGTCCCCATGGGGAGTCATAACAAGGCCTCTCACCACACTCTTTCATAAAAGATGATGCTACATGCCCCTAAAATGTGCTGTTAAAAAAGAATCACAGACGGGTACATTTGTGCCTTAAGCAAAGAATCTTTAATATCAGACTATCTTTTATCCAGGAACAGAATTGCTCCCATCTCCTTTCAGTTCAGTGTCCCTCTGTTGATGGGATAAAGGGGGTCTCTTGCAGGATTTTTTCAGCTGTATATAGTATTTGTAGTTGACAGATGTAACATAAAGGTGGAAAATATTCTTAAGAAGGGAAAATAATTAGATTATTCAAATTATTTTGATTAGCCTATGGCAATTTGGCTG